AAGGCATTCTTCTACAATAACCAGGCATAACTTAGGCATTTGCAATATCGCTCGTGTAATTATTACATATCTTTAAATACGTAGAATGGTTAAATTATAAGACAATTGCTGGTGTGTGGTGTACTTTCCAGATAGACTGTCTAACATGTTCTAGATTTCAGTGACTAAGATGCACATGCCAGGAATAGGTTCTGTTTGTCAAACACCCTTTAAACCCGCAGTGGGGGTCACCTCCACAAACACTGGCAGCAGTGGTGGAAGAGGCTTCACTACAAGCAGGTGGACAGCAGGTGTGGGCTGTCCACCAGCTGGCTCTGTAACCTTTGATCCCCTAGGACAGAAAATCTGTTCGCCAGCCCTATGTGGTCATTCCTCATTTGTTAAATGCTTTCTTCTCCTTTAATACGTCCAGAATCCCTATTCCTTTGGCTTGATTCCCTTTTATTAAAACAGAAAGCTCTCAATAAAAAAGTAAAACTAATTCGACACTCAGCATTAGAGTTCCAGAATTGATTAGCATATTGAATCAAAAGTTGATAATGTGTGGTGTTTCAGTTACATTTAGTAGAATGTATGTCTATTTATTCTTGCACACACACACAATCACAATAGGAGATAACATTCAAATTTTAGGTAATCCAGCATTCACATAATTTTTGAGGTACTCAAATAGTATACTCAAGTAAAAAGGATTTAATTACAAAACAGGAAAAATTTAAACTTAATTAGGAGCAAATTACTCTATACTTAAACAATAATGAAAAATACCAGAGAGTACTTTTCTAACAGTTATTTTTCTGCTTCATTTTGTGCTACAGTTACACATGACTGGGAAAGACATCATTTTACAGCAGTGGCAGGCAAGCCAACTGACTAGTCTATTTATTCTTACTTATATACCCTCAGCTAAGATCTCAGGATGCTGGAGTAAGCCAGGTAGAATAAACAGAGGGTAAGAAAAGTGAGTTTTGTGGTCTAGCAGTCACTTAAGTGCCGGAAGGAACTTCAGACAAATTTTCAGATCCTTAGCCTATTACCTCATGTGAAAGAAAACAAAATGCAGGGTGTAACAACAACAGTATCTACTTTACCAGGTTATCAAACTGGTTAAATTAAAGGCACAGACCTGAGCTGGAGGGATGGCTAGGGGTCAAGAGTACTGGATGCTCTTACAAAAAACCCAGGTTCAATTTCCAGCACCCACATGGCAGCTCACAACTGTCTGTAACTCTAGTTCCAGGGGATCCTACACTCTCACACAGATATACACGCAGGCAAAACAACAATATACATAGAAATACAATTTTAAAAAAAAAGAAGAAGAAGAAGAAAAAAAGTTGGATGGTGGTGGCACATGTCTTTAATCCCAGCACTCAGGAAGCAGAGGCAGGTGCATCTTTGAGTTCAAGGCCAGCCTGGTCTACAGAGTGAGTTCCAGGACAGCTAGGACTATTTTACAGAGAAAACTGCCTCAGACCAAAAAATAAAAAAATAAATTTAAAAAAATTTAAAAATCAACTTTGCAAGTACTTAGCAAAAATCTGATATAGAGAAAGTTTCTAAACAATTGTGATCATTAATACTCTTTGTTTACATTATCCTCCCTGGACCCACTAACAGATACCTCATAGCACATGCATTTCTACCACTGCTCTGGGGCATAATTCGTGGCTATATTATACCTTTAATTTGTAGCAAAGCCATTCTCTTCTTTCTAGGAGCAAAATAAAATAGATATAACAAATAATGCTATCTCTTTTTCCAAACTGTCAATAGTACAACTCAGTACTAATTTTTAACGTTTTTCTTAGTTGTTCTTTTTTTTACTTTATATCAGAATTTAATTTAATTTATCCTATGTGGATTGTTGGTAGAACTAAATATCAGTCTAGTAGTTTAACTATATATGAATCAAAGTGTTTTGTTTAAACAGTGATTTATTGTAATTCTTTTTGTTGTTGTTATTTTTGGTTTTTTGAGACAGGGTTTCTCTGTAGCTTTGGAGCCTGTCCTGGAACTAGCTCTTGTAGGCCAGGCTGGCCTCGAACTCACAGAGATCCACCTGCCTCTGCCTCTCGAGTGCTGGGATTAAAGGCATGCACCACCACTACCTCGTGATTTATTGTAATTCTTGAGGTAAACAACAAATTCTAAAATTGTAACTCGAAACTAAGCATTTAAATTTCAGATGAGAGAGCCAATCATAGGTAACATCTTCTTCAGCGTCATTAACAGTCTGATTTTAAAACACTAGCAATTTCCCGGCTATAGGGCTTAAAGACTCCGAAGGGATCTGTAGAGTGCCAATGGGCTGGTAGAAATGGCAGCTTGCCGTCCTGTAGGAAGGTATGACTCCCTACATTTCACTGTTTGCCTTTCTCCATCTCAGTCTCCCCCTCAAGACCAGAGCCTGCAATTTCCTACTGAAATGTTCTAGAAGATCTGTATTCTGTAGAATGAGCATGTATTACAAAATGTTTCACGAGGTCAGTTATACAATAAGAAAGAAGGTCATGTGTTGGGAATATTTTTGCATGTTTGCTTTGGTTTTCTTGCTTCACAGATCCCTTCTGGTTCTTTTCTTAGCTCTTTAAATGCAATCACTTATCGGGCCTTGGAAACTTCTTTCGCTCGACTTGCCCACATTTATATCTGGTTTCCATTTCCCTTTTTGTGGCAGCTAAATAAAGATGTCTTGAAAAAGACATTTCTGATTTGCTTTTATATTTTTTAATGCAATTTTCCTCTTAAAAGAAACTACAGTGACTTGCTATTGTGTAGAATGACCTTCAGGCTACTCTTGAGTACCTCACTCATAGTTTGTCCTCAATTGTGAAGATTATTTTAAAAATTAATTATGCATATGAATATATATATACAAAATTACAAATAACTTTACATGTTTATTTATTTATAACTTATTTAAATTGTATATATAAATGTGTGTGGGCCCCTTTGCTGAGGGCAGAGAACAAAGAGAGGCATCTTCCTGAATAGATCTTCACATTATCTTTCTGACAAGCTTTCTCACTAAATATGGGGCTCACCGATTTGGTTGGTGCACCAAGGATGCCCTATTCCCTGCTTTTCCAGGGAGAGGATTACAATGGTACACCAGGTCCTCATGCTTGTATGGAAAGCGCTTAACCAACCAAGCCATCTTCCCAGACCCTTGAGGAAGTTTTATTCAGCAAGGTTTATGTCACAGTGAACCATCAGAATCTACTTTCTAATATTAAGGCTCACATCAGGAACAGGGAGCATGTTTGAGATTACTTAGATTACTTATTCAAATATTCCAAAGGTGGTTTTTTTTTTTGCTTTTCTTTTTTTCTTTCTTTTCTTCCTTTCTTTTTTTCTTTTCTTTTCTTCCTTTCTTTTTTTCTTGTTTGTATATTCTGGAAACTTTTAAATTTTTTATTTTGTCCTTTTGTTACGCAAGCACTCTACCACTAAACTACAGTCCCTAGGCCTAAATTTTCTACATAAAAATTGTCAAAAGAATTTTAAGCCTACTATCTTTAAAAAGTAAATGTATGTTAGAGGTCCTAAATTATTTTTTCTTAAGGAAGGAAAGTCTATTAGCTGCTGGCTTCAGGAATGCCAATCAGACATAGCAAGGAGGCATGGTGGAGCTGAGCTGCTCACACCACAGCAGACAGGAGGCAGAAAGGAAATTCTGAAATTAGGCTGAGTTCCTAGATTTGGAGGGTTTGCTTCTGTTGTTGTTTGTTTTAATTTTTGCTATTGTTGATGTCGTTGTTTTGACTTAATCTACTTTTGTGTAAAATGTTTTACATTCACTCAGTAAATATGGAGGTACTCAGATGAGTTTTAATTAGAATTGTTATGCCCCTGATGTGTTAGTCATGTGAACGTGACCACACTTGTCTCAAGTATTTATTTACTCAACAAATCAATAGTGCTCACTGTGAGCTAGGTACCAATCTCAACAAGGGTCAGCTCACTCCATACCCATTACAACTCTATAAAACCTCTATCATCTTGATTTTTAACTGAAAAGATTGAGGCCAATAAACTCTAGCAGAGTCCCCCAGGTCACATGCCTAATTAAACAGCACAGGTCAACACGGGCTGATCTGGCAACCAAGTCAGCTCTAACAGTTAACAACGTTTAAGAATTCCTTTCGCCTCGCCTCTTCAACAGGGCATGTGCTGCTAGAATAACGTGTGGGGTGGGCACGATGCGGGTAAGTACTTAACTACACCAACAACTGACAGTGGGGAAGACTGTAAACTCCGGGCCTAATTTCATAGTAAAACGTTTTTTAAAGTTTAACTAAGACTTTATGTTAAAAACTGAAGCTAGCTTGTAACATAAATCAAAATAAAATTTTAATTAACATTTTTGGAAAAATGAATACTTTAGTAAACTGAAGACAAACATTTTTACCAGAGAGAAAAATTATGCTAACAAATACAACCTTTTTCCCAATGAATTTAACCTAATAGCATGAGTAAAAAGGCTGTATTTTCAACAGTTCCCAAAAGGACAATAATTTTCCCAATTTGTTCAAATCAAAGTTATTTGAAAGACTCACCTGCCACAATTCTTGCTAATTTTCTCTTTTCCCATTGTGCACAGGTGTAACTTTACTAAATCTCTGTTTTTTCAAGTATCAATGTAATGTTAAAAAGTGTCTGCACTTCATAACACAAGATCAATACGGACCAAGTAGAAACCACAAGGTCAACAAAACAACATGCAGAGGAAAGAGTTAGGGTTAAATAGAGTAGGGATTGCTTTTATCAGTAGGGATTAGCATCACAAACAGTCAGGTCATTAGTGGATATTTTGATATTTGCTTTATCATGCTCATTTAAACTGTCATACTCTAAACTACCAAGACTCAAATCAGAAAAACTGGGGTTTAAGCATCCCTTCCTCTCACTTTTGTTCATGTCACAAAGCATGAACACTTCTGAGACTGGTACTCAGAATCCTCCCAAGTTTTCCAGAAAAGCATGAAAACTCTTACGTGATATGACATGGTCCATATATTGAGGTAAATAAGGAGCCCAGGTATCAATCGTTTCCTTTCGTCCTGCCTGCTCAATTCTTCTCAGCTCTGCTAGAAGCAGGGCCTGCGCCGCCTCTCTCACCTAAGAGAATCACAGAAACAAATGACAAAAAGCATGTCAGTTGGTGAAGTGACGGCCACAAACCAGAAAGTTTATAGTAATATAAAAATCAGAAAACATAGAAAGCATATTTATTTACTTGAGAAAAAACGTACAAATCAAATAAGAAAGTGAGTAGCTTGGAACGATGAAATTAAATGATAGCATTTTACACATGATCCAAGATGCTTTCATTCAAAAATATTTTTAAACTAATGGAAAGATATCTAATCAACTTTATGTTTAAAATTTGATTTTCTAAAGTGTTCTTATATTGTAAAACAGCATCTTTAATTATTAAATTTCCAAGTAACTATTATTGTTAAAGAAAATCAATGTTAGGAGCAGTAAATTGTTTTCCCCAATACCCCCAAAAAACTTAACCTTATCTAGTAAATTCTTTAAATATGACAATTTTGGTTGGAGCTAAGGGAAGGGGATGAAGGCAGCCAAATACATTAAAGCTATTCACGGGAAATAATGTTTGAGTCAACAGGCCAGAGAGATGACAGAGGTCTTCAAAATATTATTTCTTGATTTGAAATTTACATTTCACCAAGCCTTTTTACTATTTGTTATCTACTTTATCATATCAACATTGCCTCAAGCATTGATCTTTTATATAATCCAATAGGTATAAATCCACATGATTCACATATACCTAGACACAAACAAAATGGATAAATAGATTCCTGTGTAACCTCTTTCAGGTTATATAGAGGGAGTCATTTTTCAAAATCATATCAATTTTTCTTTCAATTGGCTATGCAACCTTTGTATTTTGCGTTTTAATTTCAGGGTTTTTAACAAAAATACCACAGACATAAACCCAAAAATGCTAGTCTATTTTTAAGCAAAGTACTAATCAATTTATTCAATTTATTAACTATTTATGGCTTAAGAAAAAATTCAGCCTCATCTAAAGAAGAGTTTAAGTAAAACATTCTTTATAAATATACTGTCTTTTAAAGGGAACTAAAAAATTATTCAATGAAAACTTTACTATACTTCAGTTCTGTTTGAAGTTGAGTCAACAGAGACCAGACCAAGCAAATATCTTAAAAGTATTAGGATGCTTCAGCCAACAAAAAGCCAGAAATACAGCGGTCCTATCAAATCATATCTGAATGACATCACAGTAATTTATTGAGTATACAAATGTACAATCTATGATGTTCATGTAGCAAAACTGCCTAGCAACATGTATGTTCTCATAAGAATTACATTATTGTCTCTAAAATGTTTTCCAAATAGACTAAGCAAAGTATCCAGGGTCAAAAAGTTAGTAATTGTTTCACTAACATTTAACCCAACTCTTTTTAAATTCCAAAACTGTCTTGCTGCCAGGCGGTGGTGGCGCACGCCTTTAATCCCAGCACTCGGGAGGCAGAGGCAGGCGGATCTCTGTGAGTTCAAGGCCAGCCTGGTCTACAAGAGCTAGTTCCGGGACAGGAACCAAAACCACAGAGAAACCCTGTCTCGAAAAAAACTAAAAAACAAAAACAAAAAACAAAACTGTCTTGCTTTACCAGAACACAGGACTTTCTATTGATCTCTGACTACTCACTTGGAATTTGTTGGAAGGGATTATTATTATACTAAATATGGATACATGTCTTTGTCATGTGGCTGCATTTTTCTATGGAAACCAATTCTTAAGACATAATTCTAAAAGGTATGTGGAACTTTTAATGAAACACTCAATAAGTTTTTAAGAGTAAATAAATAAACAAGCTAGAAAGTTTACTGCTTACTATAGAAACAAAGGAGGAAAAACATGGAACTCTAGAATCTACATTTTCCACAATGGAATGAGTAAGTGATAGGACAAATGAGATAAGTATTACTTTTGTTTATTGAAGTATTTTTATTTTCCTTATAACTTCATCATTACCTCCAAGCATCGATCTTGCCATCTTCGAGCCAGCATCTCCAGAAGAGGAGGTCTGAATTTATCCAGTCCCAGCAGGTCTGGCAGCATAACGCAGTGCATGGCAGCTAACTGGCTCCATCCTACCAAAATGTGACGTAGAGCAAAACTTTAGACATCTTGGTAATCTCCAGCAAATATAAAGCTTTATTAATGAATACTTATCAAAAACAAAAAGGGAAAATCTATAAAATGATGTTATAAATCATTTTAGTTTAATATTATTATGTATCAAAACATCATAAAATGTATTTCACCCCTAAATCATGTATTTGGTGACCTATAAGAACTGTGTAGATTTTAAAACCAATAAGAACAATTTTCCACACAAAGTTTTGCCAAATTTTCATTGAAAACATATTTTTAGAAATATTTTCTAAAATAAACATATTAGAAGATAGGAAAGCATAGAAATAAACGCATGTGAGATACATTGAGATATATGAACTTGTTGTCATGAAAAGGACATTCTCAGATATTCATCATAGGTTCAGTCACTTGAGGCATGGCCATCTGTGAGCTGCCAACATACCAGCCAAAAGGGGAGCCTTCCCTTGTTAGGACCTTTAATTAAGATAGTTTCTGAACCCCTCTCTTCCTAATGAATCAGAAACTTAGTCACAAAGCTAAAATTGCATAACGTTAATTTTTAATGAAAACATTACACACAAAAACTTGACAATTCAAAATTTACAGTCCTAAATATCACTTTCCAACTTAAAGAAAATATTTTTTTTCAAATTTCTGATTCTTGATAGGAAATCTAATTATTTAGTAAAGACATGTGTTACATACCACTATACTCATATACATATATTGTCTGTGAGCACAGAAATTTAACAGTTCTGTGCTTTGAAAGAATTAATACTGTATTCTTCTAAGTTAATAATGAAACCCTATGATAAAATATAGAGTGATCTCTGAAACTGTTAAAAAGAGAGAGGAGTCACCTACTTAAGATTTATCCATTCAGTAAAGAAATTCTCATCAACAGGTAATAAATATGTGATTACATTAATTTAGATGATGAACATACATTTAATATTAAAATTTATAACATATAAGTAGATACACATATATCAGTAATGTGTAATTTCTTAATATGTTTTAATGATTCACTACATCTTAATGAACTACTTATGAGTCAACTTTAGCACATGATGATTCTTATAAAAGCCCTACAGCATATTTTAAATTAATGTTTTTTTAAAATGGCTCAACAAATATTATTCTGATTATTCCAATCTAGCCTTCACATTCAAGCTTTAGCATAGTCTTCTCATAGAGAAACCAAAAGGACAATGATACTGTCATTTTAAGTTCCATTCTTTCTTCCCTGGGAGCACTACTTGTAACAGGGGCTCTGTGCTTCACACACAATCAACATCCCTTTGTCTTAATGGCCTTGCAATATTAGCTTTGGTGAAGAGTCGGAATTATTTTCAGTGCTATTTTTGATTTTATAAAGTTTCTCCTTTTTATTTTACACAAACTAGTAAAGGTAGAGACCATACAGGAGAAAGTGGATATAATGCAGAGCTCACAAGTTCCATTACTTTTCAGGTTCAACGATGCTAAGAGAGTTCGAAACAGCAAATGTTTGCATATTCCATTCTCAATTTCAAAGCTCCAAAATTACATTCCATTTGTGTAACTACACAACAAGAAGGATGTTAGGCCAACTGAACTCACAATCTATGCCTTTGCCTGGAGCAGAAACAGTACAAAAATAGGTGAACTCTTATTGGCTTATGTAATCAGTCTGAAGACTTTTCAGATGAGAATGTCAACTAACAGACTTACTCATCTTTTGCTAGTGTATACGGTTGTGTAACGACAGCACATTGTGTCTCTCATACACTAATCGTACATATAAAATAAGTTTATTATTGTTAATGCCACAAATCAAATGGCAAAAACCACTCTGACAAGCAATTCACCTTATAAGCAAGCTTAGCATCCCTGCTCTCTGTAGCTGTGTGGGTGATGGCAGACAAGGTTCACTCTAGGAAGGAGGAACATCACATTTTCTACATTTGGCTCCTGGCACTGGGTTCAGCAAATAAAGTTACAAAATGGGAACCCCAGGACTCATATAAAATAAAGCAGATGGAGGTATAAATCAGATTTTTAAAAAAAAGAATAAGTCTATCAGGCCAAAGCAGAGGCAGAAAGGAAGTTGATACAAAGAGAGAGAATACCTTCATTTACTAAGAAACAGGTATGTAAAGCGGTAGAGGCAGAGGCAGAGCCAGAGTGATCGGCGTCAGACCGAGCAGAAACGACAGGTGCAGCGACTTGCAGAGAAAAATAGGAGAAATAAAGAGGAAAGAATTGAGGGTCAGCAGTTTCTGAAAAAAAGCTTAGTATTAGTGAAGAATGAAAACAAAGTTAGCAAAATATAGTGAACATACAACTAAAAAATGATGTTTTAATTGGAAAGGAAGGCTCATTAGAAGCTCCACAGAGACAGAGCACCTCTTTGAATGGTGATCTCAAAGTAGTTCAACTTTCGCTCACAGCTGAGATCTTTTTTACTATAAGTCCACAACAAAGAAAAATCTTATAAAAATATAACCACAAAACAAGAAAAACTACATTAAGAATTAACAGAAATGTAATTCAGTGTTTAAATATATAACAGAGAAAACTTTATGAGGCCTTCATATTGTTGATCATGTTTTTAGAAGTTTATTCTCTAATATTATGTGTAAACTATTTTTAAAACTCTCAACGGAATACTAAATGGCATTTTGACTGTCTATACTTACATAAGAACTCAATTTCAAGTATACCAACTTGTAGAAAACACACACAGTACACCATATTGAACTCTTCTTGGAAGACTCAATAGTTTCATTCACTTTAAAACTAGATGCACTAAAACCATCGTGCACATTGTGATTCCTACACAAGGGATGAACCAACCCCTCTCCAACCCCAAAAGGTTGTACTCCTAGGAAAATGTTGCAGCTTAAATTAGCATATGAAAAAGCCAAAGGCCCTTATGGCCTACACCTTCTACAACTAGAGGTCAATGGTAAAATTTAGAGGTCATCATTTGTCACTTCCTTCCTATGAAGAAATTACCATATGTCATGCACTGGGCAGCAAAGGGTGTGTGCTCCTGAGTAGATCAGGCATGGTCTGCTAGATGACATGTTTGCTTTTCATGCCATGAGGCTCTTTTGTTATGATACGACAGCTGCAGAAAAACAACTTTTTTATAATTTTCACCAGAATGTCACTCAGGCACTTGGGAGGTGACCAGTCGAACTAAAAGAAGTCTGGGAACGAGCTCCATACTTCTCCCACCCATGGAACGTCTATGTGGAAAACTGTACTGCTTTTTTATTAGGATAGACCTGAGTTTTGTTTATAATAGAGTTATGATTATCTTATATTTATTAATTATATGTCATATTATATAAAATTTCTACCATAATCTTTAAAAGGACACCAAATAGTTAATATCCTCCAATGAATACTTTTATTTTTAAAATTCTCTTTACCATTTAATTACAAATTCAGTTAAAATGACCTAGATAACATTTACTTCACCGTGCAAAAAGCTCATAAGCATGCAAAGGGGGATTCCCCCTGTGGCTGAACCTCATGCCACCAAAAGTGCTCAGCAGCCTCCTCCAGCGAACCCCAACAGTAGAAACAGTAGTATTAAATGTGCTTACAGGAACTTTTTTATGTATATGATGCACTCTGCTGCGCTCCCACCTGACTAACCCTCCCTCACTATAAGTCCCCACTCACAGCCTCTGAAAAAGATGTGTTCTGAAAAATCTGTGTTAATTCTGTTTGATTTCACCTTAATTCTACAGATGCACTAGAATGAAAAGATGAGAAAGTCCAAAATAAATGAATAAACAAGTAAGGGTTGAGTAGTAACTGATCAGTATCTGCTATGTTAAATAAGTGGAATTAAGCCTTGATATTTTCTCAGTGAACTAGTATTCACAAAGCAGCAGCAGCAGCAGTGCAGCTGGTGAAGCTGTTAAGGACCTGCGCTAGGACTTGGTGCTCAACACACTCAACTATTTACAAAAAAGAAAAACCCTTGGTATTCTAATTTTGGAGTCATTAACGTTTGACACTTTAATAAATCCTATGGATGCTACAAACCAAGTAATAGAAATTAAGGACTCAGATTTATTAAGATTTAAAAATCTCTGGACCTACATAAAATTTACTCACGCTATCTTACAACTGAAATGTCAAACTCTAGAAACACAGTCACAGTTCACTGAGAAATTAAACTCTTGTCACAGCTTTTTATAACTATCCATATAGGAAACTCAGAAACTAGAAGAAAAAAGAGCACTCAAAATGTTCAACGTTTAATAATAAATGTCAAACCCGAAAAGTTCTGTGATGGATACTGAAGATTTATGCATAAATCATATTTGCTCATCTTATTAAAGCAGGAAAGTTGCAGGGACACTTATGATTTTCTTTTTCTTACATGATTGAAAGAGATATAAGTCCCATTATTTTTCCAAGGAGGGTCCTTTAAGAAAGCATTATTGTAGTTCCCAGACTCATCAACTGCTACTGTCCCATGGACAACTTGTATATGACGTGACTGTAAATACTGGCTCCAGCTTTTCTTTAAATAGCATAAATGTGTTTTTCAATATTATAACACCTATGTTTTTTATCTGAATAGACGGTTCTGTTTTCATTTGAAGCTTATCCTAAACTCCATCCACCCCCACTCCTATTGTGATAAGAGTGACACAGAGATTAACATTTTGAATGACAAAGGCTCTTTACGTACTGGTCTAAATCTCAAAAGTCTTCTAGTTTATCAGCACAAAGAGCCCTTACATTTCCACAAGGGGAAAAGGAATATCCAAAAATATAGGAAAATAAATGCAATGCTTAAGAAGTAAAGTTTTTCAGAGTTTCACACTGGAAAGACACGATTATTTAATGTTGAGTAGCCTTAACTACAATGCTAATGGTTATCATAATGAAGGGGAGAAGGAAGAGAAAGGGAAGAGAGAGAAAAGAGAGAGAAGGGGGGATAAGGAAGAAAAGAAGAAGAGGGGAAAAAAGAGGGAAGGGAAAGGAAAGGAAAGGAAAGGAAAGGAAAGGAAAGGAAAGGACCCTTAAAAAGCAGGAGCTCCTGTAGCATCAGCAACCATACACCTACCATGAGGATATTCTGCACCAGGTCTGCATTATTTTCCTTTTTACAATCTTCCTTTATGTCTGTGCTTCTATATGTCTTATGTAAACGGGCAGTCTACTTATCTTTTAAATCAACATACAATATTTAAGATAAATCATTAATTTGGGCTGATCTCTTTTCCTAAGATCTATCTGGAGTACAAAACTAAATATAACTGGAAGTGGTGTTATAGGCCTGTAATTCCAGCACTCAGGAGAAGGAGGTAGAAGGATCAGTAGCTCAAGGTCATTCTTTTTTTTTTTTTTTTTTTTTTTTTTTTTTTGTCATTCTTGACTATCTTAAAATTTTAAGGAAAAACTGTGTGAGCCGGGCGATTGTGGCACACGCCTTTAATCCCAGCACTCGGGAGGCAGAGGCAGGAGGATCTCTGTGAGTTCGAGACCAGCCTGGTCTACAGAGCTAGTTCTAGGACAGGCTCCAAAGCCACAGAGAAACCCTGTCTCGAAAAACCAAAAAAAAAAAAAAAAAAAAAAAAAACCTGTGTGACCAAATAAATCAGAAACAAAAACAAAGTCAAAATAAAATCAAATAATATAACATCCCATCTCTGAACATGGCGAACAATGAGGGCTGATGAGAAGCCAAGGACAATGGCACGGGGTTTTGATCCTACGCAATGTGCTGGCTTTGTGGGAGCCTAGTCAGTTTGGATGTTCACCTTCCTAGATATGGACAGAGGGGGGAGGACCTAGGACTTACCACAGGGCAGGGAACCCTGACTGCTCTTTGGACTGGAGAGGGAGGGGGAGAGGAGTGGGAGGAGGGGGAGAAGGATGGGAGGAAGGGGAGAAGGGTGGGAGGAGGGGGAGGAAATGAGAGGCTGGGAGGAGGTGGAAACTTGTTTTTTTCTTCCTTTTCTCAATAATAAAAAAAAAAGAAAAAAAAAGATATGTAGCATGTCCAGAAATACTCTGCACCTGTCTGCTGAGTAGCTACCATCCTGAAACATCCAGTTACCCAGTTACCATGAAACAAATTCTTTTTTCATATTCTCAACAGATCCTAGCTTTCTAGGCTCTCTGTTACTTTGCTTTTGTTTAATCTTCTAATTTGACTATACATATCTTTCAATTATTTTGTGAGAATAAGTACACAAAAAACTAACTTCTGAAGATTAGAAATGTTTGAAAATGTTAGCGACCTAATTTTGTATTTTACTGAGAGTTTGGAACTGTGAGCGAAAACTCCTTAAAGAAGCTGTGTCTGTTCTGGTTTGCTTGTTTTTACTTTTATCTAATTTTAATTATTATTATTATTGTTGTTGTTCTTTAGATTTCTGCTTTCTAGTGAGAGAGAAAGAAGGGATATAGATTTTACAGATTTGGGTGGTAGGGGGTGGGAAGATCTAAGAGAAGTTGGGAGAAGAAAATATTGTATGAAAAAATCTATTTTCAACAAAAATTAATTAATTTAATTTTTAAAAGCGAAGTTGATTAGAGTTTAGTACTGTGAGGAGACTGGAATACTGCAAGCCAGAGGCTAGGTACCTTATCCTGGCCTGTATCTAGCCCTTTGGATCACAAGTACCTTTTCAGGATCAGTAGTAGAAATCCAGGCTTGCAATGGAGTACTAGATGAATCAGAGAATCCCTTAAAATTTTGTGTTTGAAATTAACATTTTTTACATTTATTTATTTTTAAATAAACATTTTCTTTTATACATATGAAACGAAGTGAACACTATAATTGTCCTGTTTTATCATCTTGACAGAGGTCCTAAATCAAGACACAGGGAATCTAAACTCAATGAGTAGGGGACACAAAGCTGAGGGTCTTGGGAGAAGAGGACAGATTTTAAGGCTAGAGAAAAGAGAAAAGAGCTAGGAGCCTGAATTGTGCAGAAGGTTGGCCTCGGGTTCCGGCAGAGAACCAATCAGAGCACTCAGGAAACTAGCGAGGAAAGAAGAATGAGCCATCAGAAAGTCCAGAAAGAGTGCCTTCCTCCACCAGCCTGTGGGGACTCCTCAGATTCAGGAGCATTTGATGGAGTCCTAAGGAAAACCTTGCCTCAGTAATAGGGAGTCATTTACCTTGTTTAGAGCATTGCTCAAAAATCTACCTGTTCAAACTGCTCTCACAGAAGTCCATCTTAAAAGGAAGCTAAAGGTCTGTAAGAACACAAAATACCCGGTACCCCTCTGACAAAATGGCAAGCATGTGCCGTGTTACTCAAACATGAAAATTTACAGAGGGAGGAAAGTATAATCGATAAGAAGAATAATTAAAAACAAACTCAGAACAAGCAATGATATGACAATAATTAGATAACTCCACACACTCAAATCAAAGTGAGTTAGGAAAGATATAAAAATCACTACCCAGGGAAAAAAAGATACATTAAAGTTCAGACTCTGATGAAAATGACAAATTACACTGCAACTACTCAAAAGAAACTAAATAGAAATCTTAGAGGGGCTCAAAAGAAGTCTGGTGAGTGGGTTCAGTGGGGAGAGACGGGTGCAGAAAAGATCTCCAGTGGTTACCCCACTGCACATGAGGACATGGAAATGGAGAGAAAGAGAGAGAGAGAGAGAGAGAGAGAGAGAGAGAGAGAGATAAGTATTTACATAAATAAAATTTTAAAATTTAAGGCATCATTAACAAATGAGGAAATTTTAAGTACCTAATATACATATGAGATCACTAGGAAAAAATATTTGAAGCACAATGTAAAATAATTCCAAAATTCCCCAAAAAATTATGAAGTAAGAAATAGACTCAAGGGCTGGAGAGATGGCTCAGAGGTTAAGAGCATTGCCTGCTCTTCCAAAGGTCCTGAGTTCAATTCCCAGCAACCACATGGTGGCTCACAATCATCTGTAATGAGGTCTGGTGCCCTCTTCTGGCCTGCGGCCATACACACAGACAGAATATTGTATACATAATAAATAAATATTTTAAAAAAAAAAGAAATAGACTCAAAGATACCTGGTGATCCAAAAGATGGCAAAAGAAAAAAAAACCCCACAAAGGACAGTAGGGCAAAAGAAAGACTCAAATCTAACTATTCAACAATAACATTAAATGTAAACAGCTAAAGACACTGTCTCAAAAACAAAACAACAAACCAAATTAAGTCACACTGGATAAAAGAGCAAGATGTAACTACATGATACCTACATGAAAATTGCCTAAATACAAAGCTCCAAATAGACAAAAGACAAAAAGATGGGAAAGTTAAATGATTACAATAGTAACTAAAGATGCTAAATATTATGAATAGAATATATTTGACAAATAAGATATCAGGAAGCACAAAGATGATCATTTATAATAATAAATAAGCCAAATAATAAGAATATTGTTATTATTAAGTTATAAAAATTTATGTGCCTATTACAGGAGTTTTAAAAAACATGAAAACAATCTTCCAGAAGTGTAAGGAAGCATAAGCAAATGAATAGTTATGGTTTCAGGTTTCAATCATCTTATCTACTTAATAGACACAAGTAGGCAGAAAATGATCAACTGCACATTGTTCCTGAGTATCATGGAAAAACTTGACCTGACATTTTAAAATACTCTACCTAACATCAGATTAAACACTTCTTAACATACACACAGTATGTTCACCAAGGTAGACCATGTGCACACACGCACACACACAGACACACACACACACCACATAAGTATGGGTACACACTGGAAATGTAATATAAGGATAAGCTTGATCTAGTAATTCCAAAATAGATGAATATATTGAAACATCCATGCCACTAATATATATATTATTTTTTAATAAGTAAATACAGTAAAATGAAAAAATTCCAAAAGATTCCAATTATGGGAAAAATGTTATTTCACTATCGATGAGAACCCAGACAGACCTTTGGAAAATCTTGGAAATGTTGAAAAAATTAAAAATTTCATTACTAAATTATCAAATGATAAACAAAAACAAATAAAAATACAACAACAGAAAATGTGGGAGTTGCCACCAAGCAATATTCAGAGAGGGATTTCAGCACTAATGATCAGGGTGTCAAGGACACAGTTGTATGTCATTAACCCCAGATTCCTGTTGCGGGAGGTCCTCCCACTCCTCCAGCCTATCACCGCTGAGATACCAGCCCATGGGGCGTGGTCTCTCTCCCTTTAAAAAAGCGGCTACTTCCCTCTCCTCTCGCTCTTCACTTCCTGCTCCGCTGGCGACTAGACTCCTTTCCTGGTTGCTTAGAGGGCTGTTGCCTGGGACAGTGATCTGTAAGTTTTTTCCCCTTTAAATAAATACCACCCTAATAATCATAACCCCGAATTGGTGTGGCATTGTTTGTGACTTACGCCTTCAGATTCCCTCAACCTAAAAGCAGACAAGTGAATTTAAAGTAGAAATAATGAAATGGTGGTAATGATAAATCAAAGAATTGAAAGCAGAAAAATACAGAATTCAATTGAGCACCATTGATTCTTAGAGAAGATTCTAAACATTATTTTCTACTAAACAAGCTGGATTTTGAAAACATATATAAGATGAATAATGGAAATGAAAAATGGAATTTTAAGAATTTCTAGAATCTTTTGCCTGACAAATCAGACAGAAAGTTCACTAAAGAAAATTATAAAACAAAAACAAAACAAGAACGCCTGGGATATGCACAAAAAATTAAAATATATAGTTAAAAACCTTATCAAGAAAACTTCAGGCCTACAAGCTTTTATTTAATAAAGCTTTCACTCTTTCATAACCCAAATAAAGAGTAAATAATATCCATTTTACAAACCACCCTAAAAAGTCCAGAGAAAGGACCACTTTCACTCACTCTGTGAGGCCAGCACCCCATTATCAACTACAGAAAGTCATTACCAGAAGTGAAACTATATTCTAAAACACCATGGACACCATATGCCTTAAGCAAAATTTTACTAGTTGTATTTAATAGTCTATAAGATGGATAAGTCATCAGGATGAAGAGTGACCCTTATGCCAAGTATTTTTCAAACAAAATGCCAATATTCTTTATCTAAGGAATAAAATAAAAAAGAACAATCATAATTATTTCAACAGATGCAGAAAAAATATGTCTAAATTGTGGTCTCTATTCATTCAACAGAATGATACATAGCAAAAAATAACAATCTATAGTTCTAAAGCAGTAAAACTAATAAATTTGACAGTAGAGGTCAAACAGAATATATATATTATACAGTGAACTAAATTGTCAAGTAACTCTCAAAAAGTACAAAGTATATCAAAAAGCTCATGAATAAAAATAGAAATGTGTGAAAGCAAAATAAATAAATAAATAAAGGAGAGGGGAGAGGTCACCAGAGAAGTTGTGATGGAGCTAACTGGGTCCCCTTTATTTGAAGCTTCAAAAGTATTTTACTGTCAGGATTGTTGCTTTCTCCAGCTCTGGAGTATTTAAACATCATGAGGAGCTATCTTGCAGCTAAGTGCCAAGTCTAAATAGAGAATTCATCTATTCTATATACATCCTAATCTTCACCCTGGTCTTTAAACAGCTATAAAAGATACACTCCGGAACAACTGAGCATATTAATTCATGGAAGTGCTTAGAATTAATTTCAAGAGGAGGAGAAAGTCAGCCTTTTCACTCTCCTATACCCTAATGAAAAACAAAGCTAAACAAAAATAAAATAAAACAAAACAAAATAAGTTATGGCATATTATTACTTATAAATAAAGAGTTTAATAGGCATTTCAACTTGTGAAAAGCAATGTGGACGCCACTAGCAAACAGCAGAAGACTAACTGCAGCATAAATCTGTGGTCTCAAACATTCCCAAGCAAAGTTAAAAATAGGTATAACTTTTAAACTTAAGATACACTCAGTAACTACTGTTGTCAAGTTAAGGTGGCCCTAATACATACAAATTAGGCCAAAGACCATATAATAAAATTATCTGAAATTTGCACAGTTATCAATGTCCAAATAAATCTGATTTATTTTTAACTGACATCTTAATTATCTGTATTTACATCTGGAATATAACAACTTTTCTCTCTTATAACAATCTGAGACAAACAAAATATTATGATTATACATTAGCAATGCCTTCTCAGTTTCTACAGCTGAAATGTCATGTCAATTACTTAGTAAGATTTAATTTTACCTTGTTTAATCTGTCCTTGCACAATATTACTGGAAGTTGGAGGGGAGCCCCTTGACTTAGAAAGGTCTGGGGTGCCTGGTCTAGGTGGCCTTTAAAAGAAGAAAAAAACATTGAACGTTTTCCTATCTCCAGAGCTGTTCAAAATATCACTCTAGATTGGAAAGAAACAGGCTCAGAACATTTCCAACTTGTATTTCAAAAAGAAGGTCATTTTCTAAGTTTTGTACCTACTTATGTTGTCCATTTCAACTTCTGATAAAAACAAACTGCATGATTATGAAGTAGAAAATATAGTTTTTTGTAATAAAATTTTTACTTTCTGTTAGTCTTAACACATATTTTTGAACACTCCAATGAACTACAATTGATGAGTAAAAACCATTCTTTGTCTTCTCTTCTTTATTCTTACCATCCTGGGATTTCAGCCTACCCCATTACCATGAGCATCTCGGAATTCATGGAATAATACAATGATTTGAAAAGTATTTAGCAATATATATGGCAATAAAGCATAAAGAAATCTTGGAGTCTAAAGGTAAGGTGTCTCTTTTTTAACTTTGGCTCAAATACACCCTATATAAAAATATTTGCAGGATTAAGGACACTGAATTTTGGTGGGGTAATTACAACAGAACATGACAGAAAATAAATGCTATCTAAGTATTTCTTAGGTTTGAAAGAACGAATGTGGTCAACATTAATAAAGCGTAGTAACAAGTTGTCTTCATAATTTTGAGAAGTAGCATTCAGGCTAAGTATTGTAAAAACATCAAAATAACATCTGTGTTTTAAGGCAGTCTGTTTTAAAAGTTGTTTTCTCCTCCCTATCACAAAGTCTGGACTGTATTCATTACCACACGCCAGAGTCAGTCACTGGACCCACCACTACTGCATACAGACCACAGCGAAAAGCTGTGAACAGATACACATTTGAACTGGATGTCAGCTCAGACTTCATGAGCTGTAAATTTAGGGTGATATTTATGGAGCTCTAAGACATGGCTCAGCAGGCGGTTAAGAGCATTGCTCCTGCAGAGGACTGGAGTCGTTCCCAGCACCCACACTGGGCAGCTCATGACCACCTGTAACTCCAGCTCCAGAGAGGTCACATCCTCTTCTATAAGCCACAGTGTCTAACATAATTTTAAAAAACGATGCCATTTGTGGTGGACCACACCTTTAATCAGGAGGCAGGTTAGGCCAGTCTCTGTGAGCTCAAGGCTGGTCTTGACTATGCTGAGTTCCAGGCTACTCAGGGTTATCTCAGAAAAAGTAAACCACCTTAAATAAAAACCTTTAAAGATTTATTCAAGAGCTATCGTCTATGACCAACTCCTAAATTATAAAGCCATTTAAAATAGCTACCAAGTATGACTACATATATCAAATATTGTATAATTTTATATATATATTTGTATATTTTATGTATATAATTGTATACTAGGCATTTTAGAAATGTCTCTGTTTCAAAGTTTAAATGGGAAGTCACTAAGGTGACACTAATGTGGAAATGTGTGCAGAGCCAAGAAACAAATGTGCAATAAACAATAACAATAGAATGTGGCCATTTATCCCTTTTGAAAATGAAGAATGAAATTAAACTACATAGTCACACCTGGTCGGGCCCTTCTTCATGTGATCGCCAATAAAGGTTGCATTGGTCATACTCATTAAAGTATTTGCCAAAGAGATGATGGACAACAGATGCTGAGTGGTGACGGCTCGAGACACTGTGTAGGTTCCCTTTCCTACTCCCTCGGTTGTCGGCAGCTTCCTTCCTGTCTCTGCTTTCCCATGCGGTAGCTTCCCAGCAGCCTGATTATAACCAGGCAGCATCAACGACATATGACCTCCTCTCGACAAGAGACCAAAGGACACTGTGCAGTGTGGTTTGAGCATTCCGAGGCGATCAAGACAAACTTCATCCAGCACTTCATTCAAACCCCAGGCGTGAAGACAGGACATGAATAATTTTGCCGTGTCCATAGTTAGATTGTATTCTAGCAAGGTCAGCGGCTTGGACTTGCTGGCCCGGTATTCGGGATCACTCTCCTCCCTCCTCTGCCTCATTATCTCCTCGTCCTCGTCTTCCTCGTCAAGGAGATGCTCCTTTATGTTCTCTTTGATAGTTTCCTTCACTTGCTGGAAAAGAACTGCTGCTCGCTTTCCAGTTAGAAAGGAGCCCCCTTTGTCTGAACTGCCAGATGCTTTTTGCAAATTCTCTGGGGAAATAAGTGCAGTATTCGGCCTAGAGGCTTCTTCAGTCAGGAGTTGAATAATCAAAGCTTCCACATCAAAGAACAGCACATGGATGTCCGGGTCTGTTAGGTTTGTCTTTATTGCTTGAACCATCAGGGAGTTATGAGAATATTTAGGTAAATTCCCCTGTAACAAATATTTTTCAAAAATAGTTACAACTCAAAAGTATTTAATCCCAACATTCATTAATGAACAACAAATAGCTGAATTAAAATGCTTATGAAGCTGTCTTTTTAGGGCTTCTAGATAATTAAAATATCTTCGCCAACCAGCAACACGTAAAAGATATGAGCTTATACCATGACTTTCCACTGACACAATTATTAAAATACCAATTAATTTAAAACCAAGTATACATTAATAGAAGCTTATTACTGATGTGGGAGTCAGAGACATTAGCAGACTATGAAAATGCACTGTGACTGCCCCGGTGAAGCTGTGTGTCCTTACGAAGCACTGCACACTGGAACCCTTCCTTCTTAGTCTTTCTCCCTCACCAAATTCCCTCCAAAGGCACAATCAAGTCTTCTGGGTCTTACGTCATAAAAGTAAGTTGATCCTGACCATGTTATTTCTATTTCTCTACTTACTGTCCATTTTAGCCAATACTATTGACAATGTAGAGCCTCGGCGACTCTTCAGGCCAGGTACTTCATTCTTTTCTGTATCTGACATTGTCTTCTGGGGACAAGAGTATATACTACAGTTCCCTTATGTGATGCTTATATGTATGCATGTGTAAGTATAAAATCATGCATGTTATGCCAGAGTGTAAATAGCAATTATTTTTTTAACAAAAATCATAGAACATCTTGTTCAAATTTTGCATGTCTTAAATTACACATAATTAACACACACTATTTTTTCAGAACAAGCAAATAAATCTAAATAATAAGATACAGACTCCATCAGTCCAAATTCAAGGCTCATTTATAAAACCCCCTTTCAGCTTTAACAAACAGGCTCTTGAACCATATCTGTGATTCCTAACAAACAAATCCTTTCCATTTTCCTTTTGTACGAATTTTCCTTTATTCTTTTCTAAATCATCATCTACATGGTCTACACGGCCCTAATTTTCAGACACAATATAAATGCACATCAAATCAGTACAGTGAATGCCTTGAATATGTATATTCTACTTGTCAACTATATCTCATTCATGTTGAGGAGAGGACTCTGATCCTCCCAGGAAAAAGTGAGCTAAGAGTATAGTTAGTTCCCTAACATTTTACATCCCCCATGTATCATATATTTTGATATCTTAGAAACATTTATATGGTTAACGTTTAGTGACTTATAGCTTTCTAATTCTGAGGGGCAATTTCAAGACATGAAGACTATGCCTTACTCATTTTGTGCAACCAGAGAATCTAGCAAATGAACAAAGAACATTATAAAAACCTTACAAAATTTCTCAACAACTCTCCCTGTAATAAACCCCCTCACCTGGTCTCTCTTCTGTCTCCATTTCCATCCTTCCTGACTATGCTGATGGTTTCAGAGATTCTCAATAGCATTTTCTAATTTGAGAAGAAAATCCAGACTTCTTTGCAAAGCACAAAACATCCTCCAGAGTAAACTGTCGCTTGTGCCTTCATGTCATCTCTAGTCACCACCCTGTGACTTACATGAAGTCACGTGTCCTTTCCAGAAACAATTTCAAACGTTTGGTCCTTTGCACTTGTTCACCCTGGGACCACTTCTTCTCCATTTCCTGTATCATTTCCTGTATCATCATTCATAAAGCATCTCAAGTTGTTCCCATCGAAAAATTAACCAAAGGATTATTCAAGCAGATGCTGTCACTGCCTTCTTTATATAAACTTCTCTGAATTGAATAATGTTTAAAGGATGATATAACTTTTTCTATATTACAGTAAGCAACATAAAGAATATTCCTAATATGATAGTCATTGTATTTAAGAGTCAATACAAAATCAATACAAAATGAAAGGAATATGGTTGAGAAATTACCAATTCCATCTCAGGTGACCAGAAGCTAACTTGAGCTAAAACCACTCATAGCCGAAAGAAAGAAGTGTAGACAGGGACAGTGAAAATGTAGACAGGGACGGTGAAAATGTAGACAGGGACAGTGAAAATGTAGACAGGGACGGTGAAAATGTAGACAGGGACAGTGAAAATGTAGACAGGGACGGTGAAAATGTAGACAGGGACGGTGAAAATGTAGACAGGGACGGTGAAAATGTAGACAGGGACGGTGAAAATGTAGACAGGGACGGTGAAAATGTAGACAGGGACGGTGGCAGTGAAAATGTAGACAGGGACGGTGAAAATGTAGACAGGGACAGTGGCAGTGAAAATCAGAGAGCAGGTGCTGAAGAACCATAGGTGATCAAGCTGAAGAACCAAGGCCACCGTTCACTAAGAGCTAACAAGACCACACACAGAGGCTTCAGAACTTTCTTTTGCAAAGCAGAGCGTCACTAAGGCAGACTCATCAGGTGGGTTGGGAAAATACAGATTCCTGGACCTGACCATCAGACCTGAATCAGCATGAGAAGGAATGTGTAAGAATCTGTCTACTTCATACAGCAATGAAGGGAACCGCATGACCAGATGCAGTCCTGTTGGCCAAGGGAACAAGAGCTGGGTTATGAATATAAAGTGGGAGGTGGCAGAAACTACACAGATGATTGAGATAAAAGAGCAATAACCCGAAGGCTGTGAGAGATAGAACAGATGAAGAACGGGTGCTTGATTCTTTCATTTCTCCCAGCTGTGTCACGTTTTCCTTTGAAACACTGAACATGTAATATCACACACTACGCCTAGTGGACTTACCAGCACTAACTCAAGTGAATCATGTATGACCTTATACGTCTATTATGCCTGATATAGTACTGATGTGAAAATTATAATTAATGATTGCAGCAGCACTATATTCTAAGCTGTTGCTGTAGCTCAGGAACTATTCTAGTTATTAGCACTGGCGATGTGACAAAAATAACAATTCTGGGAATGCAGCTCTGACGACAGGTATGAAGGAATGGGTAACATCGGGGAAAGGGGAAAGGTCTCCACATGCTCCTGAGGATGTTCTCTCCACAAAGTATCCGCAGCAGGGGGCTGGAGAGATGGCTCAGTGGTTAAGAGCACTGGCTGTTCTTCCAGAGTCCTGAGCTCAATTCCCAGCAATCATATAGTAGCTCCCAACCATATGTGATAGGATCTAGTGCCCTCTTCTGGCCTGCGGGCAGAATACTGTATACATAATAAATAAAAAACTTTTTTTAAAAAAAAGTATCTGCTTCTTTCTTTTAGAAAGAAGAGGCTATTATCAGCCAAACAACATAAAATCAAACAAGTTTTGCTAAGAAATTACTGAACCCATGAGAAAGGCTTGAAAAAAAAGGCAAAAGGGAAAACAGAAGGTAGACAGACTTCAAACCGTCTCATCTAATGTCAGTCACACATGTGCCCATCAGCACCCTGGCTCTGTGGGCGTCTCTATCTCCTTCTGAAGGTGTTCCAGCACTCAGCCACATGCTCGCAACAGAAAGGTTATCTAATTAGTACCATGACTGTGTGCGACTATGTAAGATTCTTTTTATTACAACCTCTCAGCTACCAAATGTGCCCTGTGATTAAAAAAAAAAAAAGTACCTAATAGCAATCTATACAAAGAGAGTGCAAAAGATAAAGAAAACAGCATCACCAATGCAAACTATAACCGAGGAAAACACAGTAAGGTTGAAGGGAGAAGGAGAGAAAACGACTCATCATGATTTCAGTGGATGAGCAGTTTCTCACAACACAAGGTCTGACGACCAATTCTCCTTACTTAGACAATCTGTCATAACAAAAGGTGGCTGCCCACCAAAGTTGTGAGGAAGTTATTTTTGCTAAAGGTAAAGAAATGACAGAGTTAATCACTCTCAGGTCTGGTTTTCTAGAATGCGATGCTAAGGTGAGCTGTAGGAAAGGAACAAAAATATCTCGCAAATTCCTATGCTTTCCTGGCTTAATGATAGAATATACAGGCCTCGGACAAGACTGTTTGATTCGGGTCCTCAGAGAGTCACAATTTCAAAGGTGATTGGTGACGAAGTCCTGGACGGCCACTCTCACGTTTATTAGAACCCTTGGAATGTGGGTGCACAATTAATTCACCCTAAAGTTATCAAAAACAGGATTAAATTCAGCTCAACAAACATTTGTGGAGTGACCTACTGTGTTAACATGCCTGGAGAAAACAAAATATTCATCCTTAAAGAAATAGTTGAAAATCTACCCAACAATGGCTAAAAAGGAAAATCACTGGGTCTCCACCTTGCTAGGAAATGCAGTTATAGGCATATCTACACTCAAATAACAGGCCAGTACACAGATTTGCTTTATGCTTAGTCTAAGTACCTGATTTATTGCACTTTTCATTTTAGAAAGTACATATTTAGCCATATGAGATTTCTTTTGTTTTGAGACAGGTTCTCTCTCTGTAGCCCTGGCTGTCCTGGGATTTACTGAGACCCACCTGCCTCTACATCCACAATACTGGGATTTTAACCACATCTGCCACCATGCCCAGCACCATTTAAAATCTTATGAAAAGGAAAAGTGACTTAAAATATAACACAAAAGAAAACACAGAGTGACAAAAAAATACTGGGCTGCTGGCACATACTGAATGTGGAGCTGTGGCAAGAGCATTAGATAAAGTGGCATCGCAAGCAAAACCCAAAGAAAACAGCAGAACTGTCATATGGCTTCAGGGCTCCTCCACGCATGCATGAATCCCCACATACAAACACGTCAGATGTGGTGGACCCCACAAACAAAACCTAATAATCCAGAATGCTCAGAGAAATAATATTGCCATGCACACGTAAGAGGCTTCAGCATTTTATATAAATGAATATATTCTAGATGAAATTGGGTCTGCTGGAACATCTGCTAACCTGGTCTCTGAATACCAAGATGCTTTAAGGGTCTTTAAGGGTTTAGGATTTTAAGAGCATTGCATTTTACCCACTGACTATAAGAATTTTTACTCTCTCACCACTCACTTCATTGATTCTGACTTGAAAGCTCACTTATTTTGAAATCATTGTTCAATAACCCAGTTTTCAATGCTATCTTTAAATAGTCTTGTGATTTATTAT